AATATCTTCCTGAATATTATTTCTGTTGCCTAGGATCCCACCCAATTTTGTGTCATCTGCAAGTCTAACAAGCATTCCCTTCACCTCTTCATTCAAATCATTAATAAACATGCTGAAGAAAATAGGGTCCAGCACCCCATTGCATGAGGATATGATTAGCATTCTTTGATTATCACCTGGCTATGTACCCACTTAATTGTCACACTGTCAGCCCTCAATTAACTACAGGTAATCCTTGGGTTATGATGGCAATTGGGAGTGGAATTGCCATCAATAAGTGATGCAGTCATTGTCAGGCCTAGCCCAAGGAACTCCAAGAGACAATGCAAATTCAGTCCAGCTATGTTTATTAGCTATAGCCTCTAGCAAGAATCTTCCGAGACTGAAACCCCAGCTCCCAAAGTCAGCCAGCCACAACAGTGTGAATTCCTCAGGGAGGTGCCAGTCTCATCCTCTTGTTACTCCCACGCTCTTCTGGCGAGCTAAAAGTTTATCTCCCTGAGCCTGGCCTTCATAATTCCATTCCATCACAGTCATAAAGTGCAATGTCGGTGTGACTGCATTGCTTAGCAACAGCAATCCTGGCAGTCCTGGTTGCTGTTAAAAACCCAGGAACGTGTGGGTTGTTAAGCAGGAAGAGGTGGGAGTCCCAGGCAAGCAGGTCAGTGGATGAGAGCTGTGAAAGCTACTAGCAGGTAAGTGCCAGAGGGGGCCCTAGGGAGAGTGGGAAGGTGTGCAGGTGCTGCAGGAGGGTGTTGTGGGCAGGCCATAGGGAACATAGGCATGCGGGTGCCAAAGGGGTGCATGGGTGTGGGGGGTGGGTGCTAGGGAGCACGGGCAGGTGGGTGAAAAAGCATCAGGATCGACTGGTGACCTCCTGCCAACTTGTCCACTGACTTTGCTTGTGGAAAGCCAGCAGGGAAGGTCACAAATCACAATCACGTGACTGTGGCTTGCTGTGACATCATAATTGCGAGCTGGATGCCAAGTGCCCAGAGTGTAATCACATGATCACAGGGACACTGCGATGGCCGGAACTCTGAGGATCTGTCATAAGTCCCCCTCATTCAGTGCCATAGTAACTTTGAATGGTCGCTGAATGAGTAGTTGTAACTCGAGGACTACCTGTAGATGATTAGCAATCATAATGAAATATTTTGTCAACTACTTTGCTGAAAACAAGATAAATTTTGTCTACAATGTTTCCATAAACTATTAAAGACATTACCAAATCAGAAAATGTGTTAAGTCTAGAGAACTTGTTCTTGATAAATCCATCTTGATTTCTGGTAATCACTTAGATAATTTTATAATCTGTTTTAGAATATTTCTAGATATAGATGTCAGACTGACTGGTCTGTAGTTCCCTAGTCCTCCTTTTTCATTTCTTTGAAGGTAAGGACTTTTGTCCTCCTCTACTCACCTGGGCTTAACTTTCTCCAGGATTTCTCAAAGATAGTACCTAAAGGTTTGATCGCTAGCTAATCAATTCAGTAATTAGAATGTAACTTATCTGACACTGGAGATTTAAACTAATCAAGACCATATTTCAAGCAAGCTTCAATCTTGCTGCTTCATCCTGCTCTTTACAGTTGTCTGGTGGACCAAATAATCTTTCCTTTTAAAAGAGTAAGCCAAAAATGACAGCAATTCTCCCCTTCCTTTGCTACCTATCAGCATTTTGCTGCATTCATTGAACAATTATTTTACTTTAAATATATCTGAAGAAGCCACTTCAGATGTTGTGTCCTTAGCCAATATCAGTTCATTCTGAGTTTTTCCTGACATCATCTCTATAATATTGGTTCACCTGTATTCTATTTTAGTGACCCATCTCTCTTCCTATCTTTTTCATGTGGCTTTTCCAGCTCTTCACTAAACTTTATATGCAGTTGCACCAGCACCATCTGCTTTCTTTTCTTGTTGGAATTATTTGTAATTGTGGTTTTAATATCCACTTGCATCCAAGTTCCCCATTTCTCCTTCATGAATCCTACATATAATTGGTTTGAGTTTATTAAAAAAAAGGATTTGATCACACTCAGCTTTCTCTTAAAATCAAGACTTCCAGAGATAAATGCCCACTTCCCCAATATTTTTACTATGAGTTCTTCAATGAAGTCTTCCCTGTAAAGGCTGTTGCTTTTCCTCCACCCTATTCTTTTGTGCTTCTCCTATGGTTCCACTTGATGCTTTTTTATCCAGCATTCCTTGATGGATTGGAAGAATGGTATCCATACTGCACACCTCCACATTACAACACCATTTCCAGTACTGTAAAGCCCATGTTTCCCATTACTCAGCATTTGTAGTGTAGAATCAGAATGAGTTTTGTTATCCCTAGTACTAAAGAAGAAACATGAATCACATACAGTAGTGTATGTTGCAGAAACTTTTGTTGGTATGTTTGTACAAGTAATTTAGTGCAGAAAGAGTAACCAATTGCTTGTATATTCTCCAAGACTTTGTACAGATCATAAAATGAAATCAAATCCTTTTCATGCTCCCAGCCTTTTAAATCAATGTATTTCAGAACTACCTCTCATTTCACCTCCACCTTTTTTTTTGCCTCAGCCTTAGATCTTGTTTGCTCAATCATCTATGCAAACTGTACTTATCCAAATACACTTCTTAAACCCACCAAGATTACATTAATAATTTTACTATACCTAAGAACTAATAATGAAATCAATTATACTATAATTAGCTTGGGAAGCTAATTATAGTATAAACCTTATATGAAAACATGCCCAAGGTCACTATTATGATTGACATTTAATTTGGAAGGTGGAATTTAGCATCTTGGTATCTGCAGATTTCTTCAAGTTTGATGGGCAAATCTTAAATACCTGCATCTTCTCCTGAGTTCACACAGATGTCTTTGCAACTGACATGATTTCAGAAAAGACACATTTCATTGAAGGCATTTCCAACTGATGCTATGTGCTTATTCACGGACACTCAAAATCTTATTTTGTCCTTCAGATCTGGATCTCTGTGCAACCCTATTGAGCATAGTTTGAGCTCCTTTGAAGTTTACACAAATGGATCAAGCCCATTTTGACAGTACTTTACTGGCATTTCATGAAGGAGGAGATCCTGGAATCTCAGATAATCTCTCCCAAATTTTGCTAAAACATCCATTCTCAAATTCCAAGAGGTAGATTCTTAACGATATCAGCCTTAATTGCTCCTTTATTGCTCCAAGTACGAATATCAATAATATATTGGTAGAATGAAAAGATAAACACAAATTCATTCTATGTAATTAGAATCACTCTATTCATAACATAGGAGCTTTTATGATTTTTCTACAGAAAAATCATCCTAGGTGAACTGCCAACATGAAACATCACATTTTGAAGTATCCCAGGGTTTGCAGCCCTTTCAGCACTCATTTATAATTTAAGCAGCAGACATTGGCCAAAAATATAAAAACAAGTCTCCAATATTGTGACATAAGAAATGGGAGAAGTGGAAAAGATAGTGTTAGCTGATAGAGAATAAGCACATACAGTGGTACCTCGGGTCACAAACGCTTCTGTTCACGACCAATTCGGGTCACGAACAGCCCCGTTCGCAAAATTTTGCCTCCGTGCGCGAGCGCTGGATCGGGTGACGAACAGGATCCGCGGCCATTTTCCCTCCCGTGACACGTCGTGGCTTCCTGTAGGGAGGGGGACTCTCCCTCCAAGCAATA